TTTATATTTAAGGCAAGGTTTTACACAAAATTAGTTTTTTACTATTATTACAGTATTATTAATCATCGTCTATTGGGATTATCACAATTAAGCTTTTTCAACGTATTATCTAACGCTCGCCGTTATTATAGTTCACAACCCACCAACCAGTAGGTTATATATGCTTACCATTAAGTGCCAACAAAATTGTTGCGACTAAGAAGATTAATAACCAGTATTGCCGCCGCATTATATATGTCTTTTGTGTGTTTGTAGTTGATGGATAATGATCCCAAGGTATTACGAGTAAGTTGATTTTAAAACAAAAGGTATTCCGAGGAAAGGGGATCTAAATGTATATGATTATACAAAGGAGTGGAATAGGTAGCCCTCGAGACTACCGGGGTTATGAAATGAGCGGTAATAGAGGAACGTATGTAATATTATTCGGTTATTGAAGAAACGGAAATCTCTTGTCTGTTCTGTTTAGCATTAAATTGACTCTAGCTACCAATCGCGAGTTATCCGCGTGTTACACCAATTATTGTTCCCATATGGACACTGAATACAGTAAAATACTAAATTTCTAACGAAAACCACGTGATTGACATGTTGTTATCATTTCCTGTTTTACAATAAACACGGAAGAATGTGATGAAACCGTTTCTTTTAGTGTGTGCAAGACGGTAATGGTAATAAAATCCCAAGGGTTAGCGCTAGTGAGCGTTGGACGCTTGGATAAACGGGGGAGGTCGATGGCTGATCCTCGTCATGCTAGTGAAAACCATGTTTGCTATCAAATGGAGTTTAACGATTTTAATAGCCACGAAAACCAATTGTGGATTGATCAATAAGTATTACTTACAGGCATTTAATTGTCAGTACACTATTTCCCGCCTCTCACTGTTTCTCAATCATTGTTTGTCTCGGGGTTTGGCCAGTGTAACAGAGACCCTTCTTTTCATTTATTGAACAAACGCCCTGAATTTCATGCAAATAGTCCCGAACCCATATAATAATAATAACTCGACCAAAGATTTAATCTCTTTTAATATGCAAGAAACATGATTGAAAGTTTGTTATTAGTATTAATATCAAGGTTAGCTGTTATCTGCGTCCAGTCGCGTAAAGATAATAATTGTATTTATTCCGGAGGAAACGTTTTATGTCAATGGCAACAATCAGGTAACAACATTATAATAGTCTTTTATTGACAATATGACATCAACCCTACCATCTATATTGCAATGACAAGTAATATTACGCTTTATCTTATTGTTATAAACTTATCAGCACATTACACACTCCACATTGCCACGGGTGACACACTGTTAAGTGGTTAATGTACGAGCTGTTCGTTTGGAATACCGACGCAGTCTTGTGATTGACCCCAATAGACGATGATTAATAATACTGTAATAATAGTAAAAAACTAATTTTGTGTAAAACCTTGCCTTAAATATAAATGACATTTCATAGATGATACAAATACTATATTTCCTTATTTGACATGGTAGATTTTACCCGCACAAAACGGATTAGTAATAGAGGTGTAATATCCCAGTAAGCAAAAGCCAAAGACAAACCCCCGGCTACATTCATAAATAACGTAATATACCTTTACTTCCATAACTTTAACTCTACCAAGCGGAAGTGTTTTCCAACTCGCAATCGGCTTACATTCTTATTCAATAATACGCTAATGACAATAGCTTCTTTCCCAACTCCAAAGACGTCCCTCGAAGCAATATCCGAGATACTGCTGAGAGATGTTAACGAAGACTCCACGTTTAAGGCTAGCATACTGTGGCAACATTCGCCAGCTTTGATTTTTGTTGGTAAGTATGAATACCAAAAGACAAAGCAAGAAACTAGGAATGACAGCAAGTACTACATATGACATATACTTTGATCTATATATCATGTAAACGCAGTAATAATTTTAGTTTGGTACCGTACTTCTTACCATTATCTTCTTCGATTGATGTGATTTACAGTCAGAAGGCCGGGGTGTTGGCTGTGTCGAGAGGAAGCGTTAAAGCTATCCAACATGAGAGCCCTAATTACCGAGATGGTATATATCAATATTGGGCAGCAAGGATGCACTTGATATATCGAGTCTATGAGCAAAACCTGTAGTCACATTTAAGATTTATCCACCAGACAAATTCTTAAACATTCTTTGATTCCAAACATTCACTTTCCATTTCTTTATCTCTCAAGGGTATCAACATGTATGCTGTCGTCCATGAGAACATCAAGGGTCAGATCGAGGAGTTTGCTAATGAATATTGGCATGGAAAGGTCTACCTGGACGATAGCAAAGGATTCTATAAAGCACTTGGGTGGGTGGTAAAAGTTTATGAATGATTGCGCGGATTGGTCATAGGAAAAACCTGTTTCTTGATTACGGCTATGTCTCCTTACTGAGGTTATTCTCTTGTTGCTAATAGTGGCGGGCAATTGCGTTTCTTTAAAGCGCTAAATCTATTTAAACCGTTTGTATTCGGCAGCATTCTACGCGCAGGAAGGAAAGGAGTCAGTAACGTGTATAAAAATACGCGACTTGCTTTGCCACCGTCTCAAATCCCTTATTCATTTTTCTTTCGCCGTATGTAGGAAATCAAAGGTAATTTCGTAGGCGAAGGACGCATCCTCGGCGGCCTCTACATTGTAAACGCGGGAGAAGGCGGACTTGTGTATGAACATATTGAAACCATAGCTGGTGATCACGCGTCTGTTAACGAAGTCCTTAGTGCGTGCGATATTGTTTCTACCAAGAAAGATAAAAGCCATACTATAGAATTGACTAAAATGAATACAGATATATTTGTCAAGAAGGCTGCGGAAGAGATTGGAGAAAAGAAAAAAGCAAAGAAAATTGTTGGCATATGCACTGAGGATGGGTGCGAGGACGGTGGGTGCTGTTGAAGGAAATGATGGAGAGAAGACTATGTAAAGTACAATAATAATAACCAATAAATGAAAGATCATTAAATCATCCAACCTCTTGGATATAATTTCCATAACGGGCAGACTTGCTATACTGAAACTGTAAAACTCCCTGCGCCAAGTTATTTCGCATCTTTCCGGCAGCGCAAAACCGAATATGGCTCAGTCCAGAAAACTTTATATTATCTCGATATTAATAAGCATTTTTGGTTTATGGCTGGCGTCTGAAAATATAAAAGGAGGAGATAAAGGTGGGGGTCTAAAATATCAGAAATATCAATTTGCATACATCCATCTGTGTTTAAAACATCCTCAACATCAATCACTGGCACTATGAACAAAGAGAATAAAGAAATACCGCAACCAACTACTGAATATTCCGCATTGGAGGGGATCGAGTTAGTGCAGCTAAATGGAGAAACCGAGAGGAAAATTAAAGCAGCCAGCTTGTGGGAGAAGAATCCCTTGTTAATTATGGTTGGTAAGTGAAAGTGAAAGGGGAGAACTTTATAGTTACGGCATAAGGTGCAGTCAAGATTGTTTCATACTTGGCTATATGTCGGTATCTGTATTTTGTATGATATGCTATACTGAAATATTGTAAATACGGTACTGTATGCTCGTCTGCACACTCTGTAGGGAACATTACACGCATATTCTGCATTTAACCGTCTTCAATAAATCGTGATCAAAATCAATAACCTTCAAATCTTACTTTGCTTCGCAGTCCGTAGACCAGGATGTCAACTATGTAGAGAGGAAGTGGTTCGATATGCTCAACATAGGGATCTTATCACTAATAAGCTAGTAAGTGTGCAAGCAATCGATACTCTGTGTCAAGCCTTCACTGTTACGAGTTTTTGTTAAATATCTGCTCATTTATCGAGGGTATTCCAATGATAGCAGTAGTACATGAAAGAATCGATGATGAAGTGGAACAATTCAACAATGGATTTTGGTCTGGCGATGTATATTATGACGAGAAGAAGGAATTTTATAATGCCCTCGGGTACGTATTAGTGCCACGTGATCTATGAGACCATCGATATTTTTCTAATACTAATATTATCGCTCGCAGAGGCGGAACGCTAAGATGGGGAGGATATTTGAGCATGTTTAAGCCTTCCGTTTGGAGCAATATCAATAGGAACCGACAAACGGTGAGTGAAACAAATTGACATAAGATGATGCAAGCATGACAATGGCTTTGGAAAGTATTGTATTAGTAATCCAAATCATCCGATACAAAAATTTGCTTAGCCGACCAATCGTATAATGAATTTGGGTCTGGGGGCCTGAGAGAATTATTCATCACCGTGATTAAAATTATTCACACATCGATTGATTGCCATCCTAATTTTGTAGAATGTCAATGGAAACTTCAAAGGCGAAGGTCGAATTCTCGGGGGGCTTTATATTCTTCGCCCTGGCAATAGCGGAATCGCATATGAGTATCGTGAAAAGGTTTGGGGAGATCATGCCCCATTCGCTCATGTGATGACTGTATTGCAGCAATTGAGTCCCAATGGGAATAAAGAGGATGTCGGAGAAGCTGTGAAGAATGCTTTAGATAGTGAAGGGAAAGTTAGATTGGAAAAGGGACAAGAGAATTATGAGGGTATGGTTTGCGTCAAGGATGGCACATGTCAGTGAGGAGATGCGTTCTTTGTTTGCCTTCCATGAGCTTTAGGATCATTGTACCAATAAATAGAAGTAACACAAGTAACATGAATGAATTAATCAGGTGACACGACGACATTATTGTCGCGTGTTATACATTATTAGCTGTCGATCATCACTTAATTAATCAATTTCTTGAACAATGCCGTACTAAACGTCGCATTATCATTCCCGAATTATAGTAATTATTATTTAAACAGCTTCAGCTTGCCAGAACCTGGCAACCTTGCGAAGATTCTTTTTTTTATGCTTTCATTATTGAACGAGAAACAAGTAAGACAATTAGTCAATCTAAATATAAACACGATCTTCATTTCCATAATAGTATCTCACTCGTCATCATATCAAATCCCGGCTACATCACCTGTCACACACGCACAATCATATCGCTCATATATTGCTATCCTGCCTCGCCCACTCCCCAAACAAGGCTTTCTTTCACTTTCTGTTCACGAAAGACGAACGACAAAGTATTGCAAAAGAACGCAGCTGTACAACCCTACCAACAGACAGATCTTTCTGCGTTCTAAATTGATAGCATAAGGTAGGAAACAGAAAGAATACTTTTGTTTGCATGTGGCTGAGTCGGCAGAAAGAAATTGTTGGCAAATATTGTCACTTTTAGACAAATGATAGGACTGCATATTAAAGATAGCAGGAGAGAATAAAAGTTTTGAGTTATGAGTTGAAACTAGTTACTCGAGTCCTATCCCACCCAAGATTATGTGCGTCTTCCGATATATATAAATTGTTAGTGTCATAACGTAAATGACAAAAATCATTAATATGCTTAGCAGCTATGACGTCAACAGGCTCTTCCGTTATTGAATTCTTAACGCCAACGCTCCATTCATTTATTTCCTCTTATTCCAACTCGCTTGTTTGTGACTCACCACGTCTTTTTTATCCAATGCATGACTTTCCAACTACTAGCTCTCAAGTCAGTCAAAATGTCGTCAGCTCGTCCGACTGCCCTTCAACGACCAGGATACGGTGATAAAGGTCGAGACGGTCACAAGGACCGTCGCACAGAAGTCCAGACCAACTCTTTTATCATAAACAGCCCAACAAAATATTCCGTTTTCTATCAATACATTATCGAGTTTCGTAGAGCGATCACAGAAGATCCAAAGGATAAGCCCACGGAGGGAGGAAGTAAAGTCACGAAAAGAGCTCCCATCAAGGGTTCGCGTAGTGATACGAAGAGGTTAAAGCGCATAATATTAGCTGAATTACAGAGAGTACATCGGGATGATTGGTTTCATAATATTGGTGTAGCATTTGATGGTGGAGAAACCCTATACACAACAAAGAAAATTTCATCGAAGCAGGACAAACTCTTTGAAATGGTCGAAGTATTCGAAGATCAGGATACTCGTGGTGCTCCTAATACTTACCACGTAGACATAAGGGAACACCCCAGCAACCCAGAAATCCATCTGGACGAACTGAAGACTCTAATGGAAGGAGAGGAGTTTGATTGGGATTTCTTTGATAAAGATGGGATCAAGGCTTTGAATGCCATTGTACATCATTATCCGGCTTTGAGGTATACTCAGTTTGGGGAGAGTATTTTTGATACGAAGGATCATCGTCCTTTAGGAGGTGGTGTTACTTTGGTTAGAGGCATGTTTGAGAGCATTCGGCCCGGAGAGGGACAGGCGAAAGGTAAGAAAACAATATTTGCACTAATAATACAGTCATTTAACTGCAGTGCATACTATGATATTAGGAATTAAATTCATTACCTTTCATCTACATTTCACGCGCAGGATCTCTGTTTCTGAACACCAATATCACTTATACTACTTGTTATGAGCCGGTCGAATTATCCGCTTTTATCCAAAAATTTCTCAATCTGCAATCCCTTCCTTCACGGTTCGACCGCTCTCAAATCGAACGTATCAATAGAGCCATAAAAAATCTCAAAGTCAAACCTCTTCATCGTCCTGATTCGCAAGCAAAGTATAGCGTCTGTGGTTTATGGCCCAAAAATGCAAGCGAAGTCACATTCATGAATAACGAAACAGGTCAGGAAGAATCGATTGAGACCTACTTTCAGAGAAAGTATAATATGAGACTGAAACATCTGCATCTCGTGGAAATGATGGGAAAGAGAGCTGATAAGATCCCTATCGAAGTTTGTGGAATTGTTGAGGTGGGTTTAATGTCGTGATGGGAAATTGAGGCATGAAATAGTGACATCGGAATGCTTTTACTTTGAAACGGTTACTACAACTTCTTTCTTTATTGAATTTAAACTTACCAGGGCCAGCGTTATCGGGCAAGTCAACTTAATGGTGAACAGCGTGCCAACATGATACGACACACATCTAATCCTCCGCGTGAAATGAAAAAACTTATTTCTGATGGTATTCGTAACATGCTCTCGGTCAATTCCGACCCAGTACTACACGCTTTCGGCATGACAATCTCTACCGAATTAGCTGTAGTCCCCGGCCGCGTGCTAAACTTGCCAAACATTCAATATCATCCCTCTACACAAAACGCCAATGTCAGACCAAAGCCAGATGACGGCGGGTGGAATTTGAGAGACGTGAAGTTTGCAAAAGCGGGAGAAGACTTGAGGGATTGGTGTGTAGTCAGTTTGCTGCCGGAACAAGCGTTACCGCCGAGAGTGATCGAAGATTTTGTGAATGAATTGGTCAGGACTTCAAGTGCACAGGGAATGTACATTCCAGAAAGGAGACCGCCGGTTATAGTGCAACGGGGAGGATATACAGCTGAATCTGTTCGAAATACATTAACCAGAATTGCATCGGACGCTAAACACAAATTGGGAGCAGCTCCGCAATTGATCGTATTTATTATCGAAGACGATTCCGGACGCAACCGTGATTTGAATACGATACAATATAACGCCATAAAGGAACTTTTTGATACCAAATTTGGCATTCTTACACAATGCATTAAGATGCCACATGTTCGTAAGAAGATGAAACAGTATTGTGCGAATGTTGCACTTAAGATGAATCTAAAGCTTAATGGTACAAATTCCTCTCTTAACCTTACACTAATGCGGAAAGAGCCAGTTCTTATTCTTGGTGCAGACGTAACGCATCCTCCGCCTGGAGCAACTGAATGGCCGTCGATTGCAGCAGTTGTTGGTTCGATTGATGCTGATGCTGCTCGATATGTAGAGAGACATGTACCTCAATATAGAGAGCAAACTACAGGAGAAAAGAAAGGTCGTGCCAGGGAGACTATCTTGACCATGGATCAGATGTTGTATGATATTTTAAAGGATTACAGGGAAAGGAATAACTTATTACCAAAGAAAATAATAATGTTTAGAGATGGATTATCAGAGAGTCAGTTTGAAAGCTGTGCGTTGGCGGATGAATTACCCGGAATGCGTGCAGCATGTAAGAAGATGCGAGCAGATTATGAACCCCCGATTACATATATTGTTGTAGGAAAACGACATCACACCCGTTTCTATCCAATGAAACAAGAGGATACAGATCGTAAAGGCAATTGTAAACCAGGATTATTAGTAGAACGCACGATTACACATCCTTATCTATTCGATTTCTTCCTGCAATCACATTCCAGTCTTCAGGGCACATCTCGACCCACTCACTATCACGTGTTACTGGACGAGAATCACATACCAGTGGATGAGCTACAGGACTTTACTTACAAACTGTGTTTCAATTTCCAGCGATCCACAAGAGCAGTATCAATACCCGCACCTACTTATTATGCTCACTTGGTGGCTAAAAGGGCTAGATCTCATGTAGATGTACGCACTGGCCGATTAAACAAGGTTGAGGATTACTTGGCTCGTAGGTATCCAATGTATTATGTCTGATTGGGGGAGTGTCCAGAAAATGAGGTAGGTGCTCGCACAGATTAGTTTTTTTTTTCTTATCGACATATTGATTAACGGCAAAGAAGTCAGTAAATAAGAATAGGTTGAATAAAGTAGTGAGCTATACACATATTGTGCCGTGAGTTGAGAATAAATAAATATGAAAACGGCACGCTGGCTTTAAGATGTGCAAAATCAATTCGATGCCAATAGTACACTTGGTTCATCAACGACGTAAACTATAACCTATCATTCCGGTCGCTGAAAATGGTTATACAGAAAAAAAATGACTTGTGCTAGTAATTGGCTCTGAAATCAGAACATTCAGATTGAGGGTTTTGGTAGCGTCTCTAGGAGATTTCGTGTCATTGCAATTCCCCGAAGATAGTCCTACACCTGTCGTAGTTAACAAGTGGAGAAAGAACACTAATTCGCGTGTGGAGGGCTTTATTTGTTGTAGCGGAAGTTTGACATTATGACTAGCTTCTATATCGTGTGTTTATACTAATAGGCTTCTTCACGTTAATTGCTCCAAGTCTAGAGCGAAATTGCATTTATTGTCCTTGTACTTTCATTTGAATAGATTGGTTATAACAGTAATTGAATCGCTTGCCAATGAAGTCTTATAATAATGACTTTGCGTTGTTAAATTCGTATTAAGGTTTCAGGGGACAGTAGAGTTGACAACATAATCATTTTATTAACAGTTAGAGAGAACTCATATTTGGTTTAAGCCATTTGCAAACATGCTCGTCCCATTCAAAGCTTGTACAATTATCCCAATTATTTGAATCTCGCTAAACGGTGATCACTCGATCATTCACACCGAAAAATAGGCATCATCTCCCTTGCAAACCCACGATAATTTTTATGACAAAAGGCTAACGATGTATGCGTTAAATCTGTATATCAATGTCGATCAGGAACGTTATGCAAGGTAAATCATGTTTATTATTGACAATTAGGAACGGTTGAATTTTTATTTCCGAAGTAGTTAGATATTGATTTCAAGAGTTAAAAATCATTTTGTTGACATGAGCCAAACACCGAGTTTTAGCTCGGAACAGAGGTCGTTCTTTATCCTACTTATCAAACAATTCGTTACAGTTACGAAATGATCTACATCGTATGTTCTAAAAACTATAGTTTGTTCTAAATAAATCGAAGACGAAATGATCTACATCTTATGTTCTAAATAAATCGAAGACATAGATGTGGCATAATAATAACGATAATCCACATTGAATGTTCTAAATAAATCGATGACATAGTAATAGGTGTGGCTGCGCATTCTCCTATTACTATATTGAAATTTGAGACATCCCTTCTTTACAACGAAAAATGTGAGTCTGATCGAAAGTGCATGGCAATGATGGTTTAATAAATTACTCGTAATAGATTGAGAAGTTGAGCATCATGCCAGTTTAGCATATTATTGTGTTCTCCCCCTACCATATTTAGGGGTAGGCTAAAGCGGAGCAGATTCTGTGCCACAGCTGCTGCAGATCGACAAAGTAGCCACAAACATCACAAGCG